GAGAACTATTGAACATCTTTATCAAGATGAATTAGGCATGCATGCACACACACACAATATACGTATTATATATATATATGTGTATATATATATACACATACGTGTATGCTCATGGTGACATTCTTTTGAATGAGGTTGACACTGTTGCGAAACGTGAATTCCTTCTGTCAAAATGGGGCCAAACACTGGAATTCGCGTTTTACCAGCCTCTTTTCATCAAGCTAACTGTACGCTAATAAGCAGATTTTCAGAGGATGCCCTTGAAGGTCTCGATGTCTTTTCTGCTGCCATGGAGGTTGAACTATCTCCATTGCACTTGTAATAAGGCAGTAGGGTTGTGGCTCTGAGACATGCAAATCATTGGGAATGTACATCGAGCCATGCAGACCATGCAGCATCGATGGTTCCGGTGTGTCGGTCTCGTCACGGCCACGAAAAACATGTTTTGGTAATCGCCCCCAGGTGCTCAACAGCTTACATGAACCCTCAAAATGGCCAGGAAACCAATAGGAAAACAATCTTCCAATTTCCTATTTTCTTGGGGGTGATCCGTGGATTTTAGCCGAATTTCCAACAAGATCCTCAATTTTTCCAATCAAACTTCAGTTTTGAGGATTTAAACCAGTAGGAACCTCCACTCTGAGCGCAAGCCAGCCCTCGGGCATAGCCAGTCAAAATTTTCTGCCCCTGCAGTCCCATGACCGTCCCGATGCACCTACAAAAGTTGCAAAAAAGATCAAACAATGGGGGTTTTGATATGGTTTTTGATGCACATATCCTAGTTGGTGGTTTGGAACATTTTTTATTTTTCCATATATTGGGAATAATAACCCCAACTGACTAATATTTTTCAGAGGGGTTGAAACCACCAACCAGTATCCCAATGTTCCATCTTTATGGGGGATATGATTTGGTTGCAGATCGATAGATCATCCCCGGGCGCCAGATCGACGCTTCGCCCCGTGGACGTTGGCCATCGCCCACGGTGCCCACGGTGCCCACGGTGCCCACGGTGCCCACGGTGCCCACGGTGCGCGCTGCAAAGAGGGCGGCGCTGCACGTCTTCCGCGGAAAACCACGTGGCTTTGGCGCGGGAGAGAAGGTTGGGCAAGGTATAGCACATGCTATTTGCCATGATCAAGGTATGTATATAATGTATATGTTATATATTATGTATATATTATGTATATATTATCTATATATTATGTATATATATATATTATGTATATATATTATGTATGTATTATGTATATCATATATATAGTATGTATATATTATATATATATACGCATATTATGTACATATTATGTACATATTATGTATATATTATGTATATATTAATATTAGGTATATATTATGTATATATATATTATGTACATATTATGTATATATTATGTATATATATATTATGTATATTATATACATATGTATTTACTATGTACATATTACGTATATACTATGTATATATTATGTATATATTTTGCATACATTATATATGTATATATTATGTATATATACATATTATGTATATATTATGTATATATAATGTACATATTATGTATATACTATGAATATATTATGTATATATCATATATATATATACACATTATATGTTAGATATTATATACATAACATCGTTTACTTTCCCATAAAAAGGGAATGGTCATTCATGAAATCACAAGGGTTAATCAAAGGAAGTTTAGGAAAGAAACTTCTGTGTTGCACATACTCACAATCAAAACAAACAAGCAAAGTTCACAACAAACCACTATCACACAGCTCCATATCTCGCAATTTATTACAACTCATTTTCACAACAAACCAAGAGACAAGGATGTCAAGGTCAAGAGATGTCAAGAGAAAGAGACCTCAGAAGAAAGAGAAAGCTCAAAAGAACGAGAGGCCAAGAATCCAAGAAAAAGAACTGTCTCAAGAAAGGAAGAAGGAAAATGGAAAAGAGATGACAAGTCAAGGTCATGAGATGTCAAGAAAAAGTGTCACAACAAAGAGATGAGAAGAGAACTGACAAGAGAAACAGAGGTCAAGAGAAACATCTCTAAATGCACACGTGGTCCGCTTCACATGCCCGTATAGGCACGTTTTTTTTTTTGCCCCCAAAAAAGGTCTCTATTCTCTGAACATTCCGGCTCTGGTTTTCCCTAGTGATGGTGGGATATCATGTTTCGACCACGGAATAATATGTGTTTTGTCCAACGATGGTGGATTTTTAGTTTACAAGATGGGGCATAGAACCAAGAATTGCCACGTATTACACGTATATCATTGTTTTGTCCATCAAACCTGGGAGAATTTTTTTGCCGATCATGATCAACCCTGGGGTTTGGTAAAAATGGCTTTTTGGCCCTTCATTCATAGTGCCTGAAGATGTTCTTCACATCTGAGAAGTATCGTTTCTGACCTAAATTCCTGTCAAAGGTAGAATGGGTTTTATCTAAATGCCCAGGGGAACATGTTCTGCCATGGAGACTTTATTAAGATTCCTCTCTCACAAAGGGGTGTACACAAAGGGCCCTCAAACTTGAACACATCGATTTTACTGTAACCCAATGGGGGGTTTCGGGTGCAGGTGGTTTTACAATTTGAGACTTGCAATTCACTATGTCCACAGCTGGTTTCAAGGGGTTTCAAGATGTTTCAGTCGTATCAGAGTCTGGACAGAAGAATCCCATCACCCCACGCGACCATGGCTTGAGACGACCAAGGTTTCCAGAAGTGCCATGAGCCTGCAGAGGACATCGGGAGCGTTGTGCAATTGGAATAAGAACGGAGAAATTGGCCATTGTAATGCTGAAGTTAGGCTATTATGATACAGTATTATAGATGTTGTTCAAAAGATGTTCCGAGTAATGATTCTGTAATTAGTCATATTCTATCTAATCTCTTCCCGGCAATATCAATACCTCGCAAACGAAAACCCTGGTTTAGTACTGGATCTAATATATTCATGAATTGGCGTCTTTCTTGTGTGTGTGTGTTTGATAGTTATCAGTTTGGCAATGATTTTCGAACTCCATATTCTATCAACTCCAGAATGATATGCAAAAACCATCAAAAACCACTGTTCTGAGCCCGATGAACAGACGCATTTCCCACTCAAAACGACCATAGATTGGGGGACATTCTCATTTAGTTCAATGACTTTCCCAAAAACAAAACTTTCATTTAGTTCAAAATTTCCCAGCTAGCCATGCTTGATCACCGAAGGTTATACATACATACATACATGCATGCATACATTCATGCATACATACATAGATACATAGATACATAGATACATAGATACATAGATACATAGATAGATAGATACATAGATAGATAGATAGATAGATAGATACATACATACATACATACATACATACATATGTATATATATATATATCATTACATCCCATGAATTCCGATGATATCATCATTATGGTTGGTTATACATTCCTATCACTTTCTGTATCTTCCTTGGTCAAATCCCACTATGCATTTCTGTCGCTTAAACTGCCCATTTTTACCGTTGAAACCCAATTTGTCGTTAGTTAAATCGCCATTAAATCAGTGTTGAATCATCAGAGGGTAAACACAATAAGTAAGTAGTTGAATCACTATTAGTTATGTAGTTGGAGCACCAATATTATTATATATATTATATATTGGAATCACTACATATAAATCTAGTAGCCATATATGTACCTGGGTAGATGATACCAGCTATATGGGGATGTGGCGTTTGGTTTTGACAGGAGGAGTTGCCGGCGAAGTCGATCTTCCTCTTTGGAGCCTGGTGAAATCAACCACGGCTGAAGTAAAATCGATCAGCGAAAAAAGGCTTTGGTGGTTTTAAGTACTGGATATGTCGCAGACACGTATGTATATATATATATACACCATATATATATATATACACCATGCATATATATATATACACCATACATATCATATATATATATACATACACACCATACATATATATATATATATACACCATATATATATATACACCATATATATACACACCATATATATATACACACCATATATATATATACACCATATATATATACATACACCATATATATATATACACCATATAAATAAATATATATATATATGAATTTCAGAACATATATACAAGAAGATAACAGTTGATACGACATAATGATACATCATATGCTATGATGTAGAATCATATAATGTATCTCTTTGATTTTTCCGCATGACGATACGGGATAGCTGATCCAGATGATATGCTATTTTTAGAAACCACCAGCCAGAATACATCTTCAGGAACTGGTGTGTGGGTCAAGCAAACAATCGGCCCATTCATCCCATATGTCAAAATTCAGGGTTCCCGGGTCTTAGATTTGAAGCTGACGATTGTGGGACACACCCAGGTTTAATCGTTAGCTTGATCCAGGGGATTTTCACATCATATTTCTTGACCCACAGCCAACTTAGAAAGCTTCACAGAGAGAGCTTGGACTTGGAATTTCTTAAACCTTGCTTCGAACTGAATGAGCACCTGGTGAGCAGTTCCAATACCAAAGAAGCAGAATTGTAGCCACAGCAAAGCATGATGGGTATGGCTCAAAATAGCCCAAATAATCCCAGAGATTGAATGGTTGAAAGTGTAAAGACACAACAGATGGTGTGGCTTTTGTAGTATTTTGTAGTGCTACCTCATGTTTTTTGGTTCTTTTGAGCCATACCCTGATAGCCCTGCAATTTCCTGGAACTAATCGCCCAAAGTGCCGCGTGTTCAGTGCCCTCGTTCCAGCGCTTCACACGGCGGGTGTGCCACTTGATCCCGATTCTCAAAGATGCCACTTTGTGACGCGAAAAAGCTGCTGTCTTTGGGCAATTTTGTGGCCAAAATCTCCCCATGTCCCTAGATTTTCAAGGGATTAGACATGTTTTCCCCTCAACGGCACGATGGGCATCAGCCCATGGCTATCTTTCCGGGGGACGTTGCGAAACGGTTGGGGGGCCAGGTGCCAAACAGCACCGGACTGCGCAGTGACTTGGCTGAAATGATGGGGTTTTGAACCAAAGAATGGTCGTGGTTTGGTGGGGATATAATGGGGATATAATGAGGATATTAGTGCTTTCGTTCCCAGTTTTTTTGCAGTTGAGTTGAGCGACTCAAGAGTGTTTCATTGTAAAATTAAGTGCCACATTTTTTATTGGCAGGTCAATTTCATTCAGGCCACTTTGGCCGTGATTGTGTAGCCATATCGTAACGTTTCAGTGCTTTGAATAACGGGAAACCAGACGGTGAACAGATCCCAAGGGTTTGGTCCACATGTTTTCGGAAGTGTTTCCATGTTTTTGTTTTGTCTGAAACTTGGAGTACTGTATTCCGACATCTGAATATTAAGTGGTAAATAAGAATATTCGTTGGTGTAAAAGTTATATAATGTTATATCTCCATACATGATATGTTTACTATAGTAATTGTTTTATTGAAATGGGGGCTATCGGCATCGTTTTTTTTGGTGAGGCGCTACCTGACGGCTCTCCAACAGTCCTTCCAGGAGGAGCCAGGTGCAAAGCTGCTTGACAACTATTAGGTAACTATGAAACACTGTAAATAATGGGATTAATTATAAGATATTGCAATGTATATAATGGGATCCACAATGAACGGATAATATGGGATTACTGTAATAGTTGTAAGTATTATTTTCGGGATCAAAAATCTACCAACTGGTGCAGGAAATTTTGAACCATCCAGAGTATTAAAGGAACATTTGCTTTCAACCATTTTCAAACCATGTGTTTTTTTTGGCAGTCTATTTTTAAAGACACCATAATATTTACATGGGACCATTAGTTTTCTTTTAAAACAATTAGGTTTAGTGGAGTTGAACTAGCCATAAATCGCCACAAATTTGGGATTTTGTGTATTCAACTGTCCAGACCTTGGGGTATAGAGGGTACAGATCGCGTAGTCATGTGGGACACAGATCCCTCGGGTATCAAACCTCGGAAAAAAAACGGGAAAGACTGCCCATTGTGATGAATTATGTGGGAAAAGCGCGGGGTTCCCATTGCCATTGCCCATGAGCACATGTATATTATGCATATACATATCAAATACGTAGTATTATTTGATATGTTCAACTATTTTCAAACATTAAATGTTATATATAACTATTTCAATTTGTATAGTTTATTCATCTATATAATCTATATATATCTGTATAATCTATATATCTATATAATCTACATATATATATATATAATCTATCCATCCATCCATCCATCCGTCCATCCATCCATCCATCCATCCATCTTTCTATCATGTACATAGCTGTTCAGCATTACTGTATATAACTATGCAAAGCTACATATACCCATATTTTCCATAACCAACAGTTGCATTGAATACCCATCGTGAGATGGTCATCAAGCGTGGTTTCCTAAAATGGGGCTACCCCAAAAGCGTGGGTTCAACTTGGATGATGGGGGCTACACCTATGGATTGGAACCCCCCCATATGGGTATGAGTCAAAATTAGCTACCCCAATACTAGATGGTTATTACTAACTATAGACTAAGATCTGTGGTCCCCAGGTCTTTAATTTTGACCCATCACCATTTAGATGATTTTGTTCTCACTTTATGAACATTGGGGTCCTGTTCTGGACCACGTCCTTCCGCATCGTGCAGATCCGTTGCCCAGCTCTGCAACTTGGGTGTTGCAGCGCGGTGCAGAGCTGCAAACGGCGTCCGGCAGCCCTGGGCCAATGGGGGGGACTGTGCATTTTAAGCCATCTGAATAGTGGTTTAACCACAGACTATAGTGGTTACCCTCTGGTGAACTAACATAGCAATGGAAAATTGCCATTTATAGTGGATTTTCCCATGAAAAATGGTGATTTTCCATTGCTATGTTAGTTCACCAGAGGGTAATTAATTGGGTATATAATGGGGATACAACCAAGCATCAATGGAGATTTTTTAGGTGGATACAATATATATATATATAATTTAGGGATAGACAACCAACAATATGATGATGGGTATGCTTGACCATGGGGTATGCCCTCCCCGCATTTATGGCAATTTTCGCAGGGATACTGTAATGATGATTAACAAACGGATTTTGGGCATTGGGGGAGTACGCTATTTTCAGACAAATTCAATTTTGTCCTTCTTAGCAAAATGGGGGCTGAACATTGGAAATACAATGTTCAACATTGTTGAACCAAAAGTGTGCATTTGGTGGGAAACATGTTGACAACCAATCCCCGAGGTATACCAATTTCAAACTTGGGGGTTGAATATTGGGAACCATACCCATACTGTATCCCACAAGTCCCCCAAGTCCCGCTATTTTGCTGTGGGACGTGTTGCTGCAGATCTGGGTTGGGGTTCTGTCACTGTGTCGGCGAGCCACGTTTTAACGAGGTGAGGTGAACCATCCATCTACTGCAAATCACTGAGCAAAGTAGATGGTCAATCAATTGACCTGCCATTCTGGCGGAGATTCTAGCCGCTTCTAGCCTTGTTTTGGAATCCTGTAGCCCCAAAAAAACATCATGTTCCAATGATTCCAATGCTTCAAAGGACCAGAAGCGCATCAGCCTGTTTTAAGTCACAAGGTCCCGAAAAGCAATTCACTATCATAGCAGCTCCCGAACTCTTCTACATTCTTAATTTCTAGGACCTGCATATATGAGTTTGTGCGAAAAGAAGTACCCAAATTTGAATTCCAAGTGTTGACCATCACTTTCCCCAATGAAAGTATCATGAATCTGGGGCCCACTGCCCACTTTTGAGGACAAACCATCTCATATTGTTGGTTACATTTTGTTGGCTCTATGACTCCCATTGAGTTCCCCATGCTATCCCCATAGAATCATAGAATAGTTGGTTTTATTAGCTTTATACCTCATTTTCTGGGGCAACTCCCCTATTTGTACGCCCAAATCCCCCAACAGAATGTCTGCTTCAACGTGTCGAGGTTGGAAACAGAACAGCAGAAATTGATGCTTCACAGGCCAACAGATGCTTCAGACCCCAAAAAAGGTGGCTGTTTTGTGGTTAATAAGCCATTAAACCATTAATTAAGCCCTCATAGCTGTGGGGGTCACCTTGGGGACGTGAAGTCCCCAAATCTTTTTTCCGAAAAAAAAAACAGATCGCAGCATTAAATCTACAGGCAGCTTGTTCGTTTTTAATTTAGGGCGTGATGAATATCCGATTGCCACTCATGTGGGGGTACCAGGCCGCCCCGGCAGGGACTTCCATGCGAAACGCCAGAGAAGACATGAGGAGCTTGAGGAGCTTCACGTCGCACAGGCGAAACGACAACGGGAGAACTCGAAGCCATGGCTCATAGGTCGATGATGTGCCGTTTTCAAAACATGATGGTTTTCCAGAGTTGTGTTGAATGGCGAGAGGATATTTTGGTCGGTTCTTTTTTTTTCACAACACTCTCCAGGAAGGTGATGTTTGGTGGATGTGCGCAAAAATGGGGGGATGAAAGTGGAAAGCGTGGCTGATTTTTCAAGACATCGGTGGAAGAAGGGTACTGTATATAGGGGTTTGTGAGTTTGGGTATATCGGTGCCCTCTTTCTTAGGGCAGCCCAAGCTTGGCCCATAGACATTCATTGACATGCTGGCCGATCGCTTTGAATGCTTTGAAGCCATAGCTGTCCTTTTACGATTGGTAAGTTGATTGAAAAAGGGGACCCGCCAATTTTTTACACACTATTACAATATATTACAATCTATTGCATAGGTGGTTTTTCAAAACCACACCGAGCCATCTATTTCTATCACAAGGGGAGTGTTGTTTGACCCACCCAAGTCCCCAGCTGGTCCTTTCGTCCAAGTCGTTGCTCAAGGCAAAGTCCGTGGAAGCCGAAATCAAAAGTCACTTGGGCGCTTAATTCAGAAACATCTAGAAACGGTTTGAACCCGGGGTTTCACAACAAGTGGTTTTTTTGGGATGTGTTTTTTGTATGTGTTGGTAACAACCTTTATATATTCAGACAATATGAACTGCCACGTTTAAGACCAACGTTGGTCAAATCTGGCGGCTCGGAGCTCATGAAGCCACGTTCTAATGGGAAAGCGGCTCGGAATTGGAGGCGCATAAAAAACCGGCTCAGATCATGGGTTTAGCATGGTTTTTTGCGACTTTTCCATGGTTTTTCAGGTCATTTCACCAGAAAAACACCCCCCAAAAAGAAGTGGTGTTTCCATGGTGATCCAGAAGCGAGAAGCGAAGTTCTCCGATAGCTTTGAGGGGAAGCAGCATCCCAATCTGACCAAAAGGATCCAAAAGGAACAATCCCAGTTTGAACATGAGTATTGACCCAATGACTGATGGTGTCCAAGCCACAGTTACATATTCACTCATAAATTGTTGCTTTTTTGTTCAGGTTGTTTAATATAGCCATGCAAAATGGCTCATTTATCATTTATGGATGATTTTCTTCTTGGTCCAATATGTTTTTATTAAAATTCATTAATTCTCATTTCAAGATGTCCATAACTATGTTAAATTGCCAAAGGGTAATTGTTCAGTTTTATGGTGTGGACATGTTGTTTGATGTTTATTGATGCCATGAAACAAATTCGACTCATGTGAAAAAAGGCTGTGTCAGCTACTGATATGTCGAACGGATAACCCCTCGATCAATACCATAGCTGCCTGGAAAATCACCGTCCCCAGTAGAGGTTTATGAAATTGGACCATCGTTAATGGGAGGATGGCATTGGCATTGGGTTTACTACATTCTTACCATCATTCTTACCATCATACCATCATGAAGCACCGATTTCCAATATGGGGATGGGTCAAAATGGAAGACCGATGTGGAACCACAGATGTGAATGTCTAGTTTAGTATTAACCATCAAATAGGGTATATTCCCAATCATAGCCATTTAATAGGGATAATGATCAGCAAAACCATTGGGTTTTGGGGTACCTAATGACTTGACCCATCCCCATTTGAGCACCAAAACTGGACTAGGCCTGGAGGATTGTGGAGCCCCTCGCAACCAATGGAAGGTGCGGTGGGGACCGAGGAGCCAACCAAGCCATGGAAATTGATGATCTAAACGAGCGCACCTGTTTTGGTGATCGATAGATGCCCAGAAAAAACGTCGAAAATTGGTGATTGACCGGGATTTCATGCGAATTCAATGGGATTCAATGGAACTTCCATGGGGATTTTTGAATGGGAATTTCATGGGAGATTTTTGACCTACTTCGGGATGCAGTTGGGGTTATACAACCACTTATAGCTGAAACTGCACCTCCGTAAGTATTTTCCAATGATATAGTCAGTTAAAGTACATATTATGTATGTGATGTGATGTGATGTGGAATATTGTTATGTTTTGTTATGTTATGTCATGTCATATTATGTCATATATTATGTCATTTCATGATATTTTATGTTATTTTATGTTAGTTTATCATTTTCCATTATAGCCAACATTTTGCATCGGCGGGCCCAGGCGGAAGTTCATGCTCTTGAAGACGCGGAGTTGGTTTTTGCTGGGGAACCTTTGGTGCCTTGGTGTCATAAACCTACCATGGGGATACCTCCCACCCATTAAGATGGTGATATTAGGGATGGTTTATTGTTGGGTTTACCACATAATTTCTATGATATGATGTCATATGATGTCATATGGTCATATGTTGAATCAGTAAGAAATGGAGACTTCAATGTGAATATTAATGTATTTTTCAGCAATATAAGCCAGCTTGATTTTTTGGACTGGACATTTGAGACCTTGAAAGCTGCAGCTTTGGAGCATGGTGGTCATGTTGCAAAGGTCGGCGGAGAGGGTGCTGCGCGAATCACAGATGTTTGGTCTCCCATTGGACTCAGAGGTTAGTCATTCCACAGTCCGATTTGTTGGATAATTTTGTGGTGACATATTTCTAGATATCAGAGTCTATATCTATGTGTACAGTGTACAGTATGCATATCCCCAGTTCTTGGGTCAAACGGGTTGAGATCCTAGGTGGCACCACCGCACATGCGCGGTGCGCGCGGTGCCAAGCTCTCCGCCATGGAGGAAGCCGCCGAAGCTCTGGGGATCGCGGTCAATTGATCGGCCCGAAAAATTCATGGCGCGGCGCTGGGGGCGGGAGCTGGCGATATTTGGAACATTTTGGGACTAACATTTAGATGTTTAGATTGGGGGATGGGATTAATGGGGGATTATATTGACGAACAATGACTAATAGTGACTCATATATAATAACCAATAATGACTAAGAGTGACAAAAAAAAACTAATAATGGGTATAGCAGTATAGCACCTCTTGAACCGGAATTGGAAACATTTTTTTTTGGGGGAAGACAAGTTTGGGGTCGTTCACAGGCACCCAGAATATAGGCGGAAAGATCTCGCCATTTTCATGCAGATTCTGTGAGGTTTGACAAACCATTGGATTTTTCTTGGGTATGGCCATTTCTTGTCCATGATTCTTGCGATGTACGGCTTGGGAGTGCAGAATGGAATCGTTGCTCCTGCACACTTGTTGAACCTTGCGTCCCTGAAGGCACCTCGCTATTTCGGGATTTCCCAAGTGTGGGATGTCTTGGACACGTTGCTCAAGCTGAACTTTAGATATAAACGTGTATGGATTTTAATCAAGCTGGTACACCTCCCTGATCTTCATGTATATATTATATTATATTATATATATATATCATAGATATTAATGTAGAACATCCCGGGCCACTTGGAGCCAACTTGTCTGATATTTTTGCCCAGCAACCAACACCTCCACTGGATGCAGAGGATGCCATTGCCACCCAAAGGGCTCCATAGCGAAACTTTTTCAGTGGTCAAGTACGGATCTCCACACTCTTAAATCCCAGGGCCGCTTTTTAGCCCAAGAGAACATGGATCTATAATTGTAAAATATATACAGTATGTGTTGAAAACATATGGATATAATATGGATATAATATATATATATATGTATGGATCATATCATGGATCCGGACAGCATCAACCAAGCCATTTGTTCCGCTTGGCCATGGCGGAAGTGGACGACATGGAGAGCGAAGAGGAGGAAGAGGAAGACTCGGAGACCTGGATCAAGATGGAAGGAAAACCCACGGTTAAATCCACCAAATTTGAGGAAGAAATCATAGGATTGGTTGGAAACTTGAAGCCGGAAAGGGTCTGTGAAATGATGGGACAAAGATGGACAAAGCATGGTTTCTGGTGATCATTTTCCCATGGATATCCACTAATCCATTGATCTGGGGCCCCTTGCGAGAGCTTTTCTGATCCATTTCCCCAAACTGTTGTGGCAACTTTAGCAGTGTTCAAAACCCTTGTTGGTTGATAATTCTTGTAGGGGATTATGTACCACCCAAGATATTGGGGATTATCATAATCCATTCATAATCCATTATCGGAACATATGGAAACTATTACGACCTAACCAGTATGGAATCGACTTCCAAACTCGCTTCCCTCGAGGAATTTGATGGCGAAGTGCCCATGCCCACACGCAAAAACTTCGTCGCGCAGTTGATGGAGGATCATTTGGGAGGGCTGCGATTGTCGTTTCAATGCTGGTTGTGATGATGGTCAAACCTGACCAGTATGTTGTGCATGGGTTGAACCCTCCAGCAACCAGTAATATCATCTCATATCCATTCAATTCCATTCATATCCTCTCTTTGTATGATTTTGTATAATATTATACATATTCTATACATATTCTATGCATACTGTATGTATACATATGTATATTATATTCGGATCAGGAGACCTTCCAACCGTTGATTTTGAAAATGATTTGTGGACAAACAGGAGCCTGTCTCACTTGTTCTAGCTACAGGATTGGTACATGGCGCTGTTAAAACCCAATGGTAATTATCAGTCTTGTTGCTTGTGTATCCTGCTCAGCGTTCACCAATCAGTTTCCATTTCGTACGCACAGATTTATATAAAGTCTCTCATGTCATGTCCAATTCATTTTCCCTGTCCGAACCCAGAAGCTGTGGATAGACGAACGCATCACGCCGCGTTCCCGTTTTGAATTTCACGATCATGTGCCAAATAGTTATCATATTTTTAAAGTTATTGCTATCCCAAGAATTCCCAAGACATAATCCAGGCTGCAATAGGCACAATACTGTCAGTGGAATTTCTAAATCCGCAAAAATCGTTCCGA